CTGTATATCTTTCAATCTGTACTTGCAAATAGAGCAATTTTATTGAAAAAAGAATTCACTAATTACATTTGAAATGATGCCAATAAAATTAACCTGGGATTCTCTGGAAATATCAGATAAGCTGTCTTTTTTCTATCATAGAGAAAAAAATAAGGCAGAAGAGCTAATAAATGGTCAAAGAATTTGACAGCTCAGAACCACCACCTCATGTTAGGAGTGGTATTTGTGAATATTGATAACTGATGTTACGAGAGAGAGAGAGAGAGAGAGAGAGAGAGAGAGAGAGAGAGAGAGACAGAGAGAGAGAGAGAGAGAGAGGAACAGTGGCAGATATAGGTCTCGCAGGCCACACAACAAGGAGTTAGAATCCTATCCCAATCGTAATGTCCAGTCTTTGGGGGTTTTCAAGTTAGGGAGTGACAAGACTTGATAGTGGTCGAAAAAGTACAGTAAAGGTAAGGAGGCCAACCGAGAGGCTTTTGCAATAGTCAGGTCAGGAAATAGCAGTTTGGACCTGAGAGACAGTGGTGGAACTGGTTAGAAGTGATTAGATTTGTGGAATATTTTGACAATATAGTTGACATGACTTGCTTGTGGTTTAGACGCGGGGTGGAAAAGAAAGACCACAAGGATGAGCCTAGATTTGAGGCCTGAGCCATTGTGTGTTTGGCAATGTCATTAATTGGTAAGATAAAGACTTGGGGATATTAAAGTTAAAGTTATTAAAGTTAAAACACTTCTAAATGCAGATTCTGAGTAGGCAGCTGATATACTAATGTAGAGCTCATGGAGGAAGTCAGGAGATCCTCAGGAGTTACCAATATGTATCATTCATTCAACGCTGTGCGGTTAGATGTAGTCCCAAGGGAGAGCATAGCTGGAGAAAAATGTTAGGAACCAAGCCAGGTCACATCATTCACCTCCTTAACAACCTTCAATGCTCCCCAGTACTACAAAATGAAACTCCCCAATCCCTTGGGATGACATCCCAGGCCCTCTACATTCTTGCCCCAGACAACCATTCCTGTTTCATGATCCATTATGTTTTTCTAGTGACTTCCTCTTTTAGAGGAAGCTGCCTGGCTTCCTCTAAACACTTGGCCTCTGTGCCCTTGCTCATGTTATTCCTTCCGTCTGGAATATCTTCCTTGACCAACTTCCCCAGCTGGGTAAAATCTTCCACATCTGTAAAGTCTCAGCTCAGGTTCACCACAGCCAGTCCCACCCTCAGAAGCAGTGACATCTTCCTCTGAGGACCACATCGCTCAACTGCAAAGTCCATGAAAGATGACTGACTACCCAGTGTCTGGAGGTGGACAGCACAAGGCTGGCACAGTGACTCTAGATGTTATCAATGGACGAGGCTCCTTTCTCCTCTGCCTTCCACAACACGTGGTTTCCACCCTTATTGGTGCTTCAAAGATTGCAAGAGCACTCACTGTTCCTCCTCCAGCTCCTCGTCCATTCTAGGGAGAAGAGGAGGAAGGCAGCCACAAGAGGGATAGCGTCTGCATGAGGAAAGCAGCTTTCCTGGAAAAATTCTGACTATAGCCCATGTCTCATTCGCCAAAACTGTGCCACGTGACCCTCCTGACAGGATGGGGGACTGAGAGCTATAGTGTTTTGGCTGGGTGTACTGCCAGCCCGAACTATTTTCAGGTGTTCTGTTGAAAAGAGAATACATATTGCGTGGGGTCCTAGCAGGGTTTGCTCAGAGTGTTCTTCCTTTTCCTCTACTCTGACACGGATTGTTCTACGGGATAGTTCAGCGTGCTTTTTCACTAGGCTTAAAGCTCCTTAATGATATCTCATCCACATTTTTTTTTTATCTTAGAACACCCTCATCCTAACTTAGCACATGAGAAGTACTTAATAAAGAGATTTTTCATTGCATGAAAAATGACTACATATTGTTCTAGTCCTTGTCCTGTGAATAAAGGCTAGCCTGTGTGCAAGGTAGAGTAGCTCACTAAAACAAACAAAAAATCTATATTTATAGTAACTGAACAGTTTATTACAGGAAAACAGACCTCAAGAATCAGGTGCCTGTTTTATTCAAAAGACCCTCCACCCAACATCCAACAATGTCTTAATATCTGTCCGAGTAAATTATCCTGGTGTGCTCATTTCATGAGAGAATCTCAATTATTTCTATTCAATTAATGTGCTGAAAACACATTAAGGCAGAAACAATAAGGCCTAACCCACACTTCACCTACCCTCCCAGGATGCCCCCCACAGGTGTGGTGCTGGTGGGTGGAGATTAAAATAGATATCCAGAAATAACTCCTCTTCTTTCCTGTCCTTATGTTTCTCCAAACATACTCTCATCCCCACACAAAGAGCAACGGTTTCAATCAAAATTCTTCAGAAATGGAGGGCAGAAATCAGATTGAAGTTGAGGCTGCTTTCAACAGACCAGATAGGCATGTTTCTCCCTCAATCCTTATAAAAAAAATTAAAGTGGAAATATTTTAGGCCTGAGGCTTCTGTCTACGACTATCTGGCACTTACTGTCTTGGGGAATAAGGAATGGTGATCGAGTCTACCCTTGCTGAGTTTTTAAGTGCGCTATGCTGCATTAACAGGAGCTAGCCTCCACAGAAGAATCAAGTAGCAAAGCTAAAGATGCCGTATGGTTCAGGAGAGTCTAAAGACTTGTTTCTTTATATTTTATCCAGGCTTGGGGAAAGTTCTTGCATCTCTCCACATGGCACATCATCTGAACTATCAGTCAATATATTATTCGTATTTTATTCGACATCATTTAGAGTCTTTTTTCCATATGTCCTTTTAGATAGCACCATCCACAGTGTCTGTGATGTTCTATGTCCTCTCTGTTGGGTCCCACCTCCCACAGGCACCTTCTGGTCTTCACTGCTGTTCTATTTGCATCCAGCAAAACACGCAACAGTTGTGTACAAGAAGACTTATCTCATTATTCAAAAATGCATGTACAAACAAAAAGAAATAAGGTTCAAATGTTTACTTTACAATTGTTTTTATTCAAAGCAAATTTAAACCTAATATATTTTTCCTTTAAAAATGGGGGTTTTTAAATAGTTTTATAATTAGTTTCGATATTGCTTATCTTACCTTCAACATATATTAAAGTTTTCTGATATCCACGCACATTCTAATCGTTTTTAGGTAGCTATGAGAAGATTTCATATTCAAAAGCCATAACCACTTTTCTAAAGTTTAGAAGAAAAATAATCTTTGTGCCCAAAGTAGTAGACTATTACTCCAAAAGATCAAAAATCCTTTGCCTTTGGACAAACGTTAGGGCATCATATCTGGCTGTGTGTGAAAAGGAATTTTTATTTTTGTTTTTATTCAGAGAATGGAAAAAGCCTTAATTCTTTAGGTTTGTTTTTGTCTCAAAGACGTGTCTAAAATGGGTATCTAAAGTTTTATTGTATAAACCTTATGGTAATATGGCCTGTGCAATCTAACTTTTAGATGATATTTTCATATCAGAAAAGATGACAACAGGCAGTTGCATTGCATTTAATTCAGGAATCTCGGTATTGTCATTTTAGGTCCTTCTAATGAAGACAAGACTCTGATTTTATTCAACCAACAAATCAAGTACATGGCAGTTGGGAGGGAGTGGGGGAAGGAGTCACAAGAATATGACATAAAAATAAATACTTTACATACTTTTTCCCATGTCTAAAAGTGTTAAAATTCTAACTGGAGAAGATTAGAAGGTAATTAACCTAACTCAATTATTTATAAAAGATATAAAAACACACAAATCAAATGATGCAAAAAATCTTTTTAATCTAAAAACTCATTTCCCGGGGCTAATAGCCAAGCCCTGCCAATTTTTATCAGTTTGACTAACAAGAGTTATTTAGCATTTTCTTCAAAGTAAGATAATATATAATAGATTTTGACAAAACTTTCTAAATGAGGACATGATACTGCAGGCAGTTCAAGGAAAAATAGCCACAATTTTTTCTTTGGTATAACCAAAAGGATATCCAAAAGTTAGCAAATGTTGACATTTCAAGTGGTAAGAAATTGCCAAATGGAAGTTTAAACTCTGGTAAAAACAGTTGTAAAAAGAAAAGCTCCACCCACAGTTCTGTAGTGCAAGTTTTCAAATTTAATTCTGAAAAATAATTTTATTGAATAAGCAGGAAACGAATTCCAGCAGTGTATCACTTACTCCTCGTCCCTCCTCTCATCTCTCCTACCCTCTGTGTGTGTGCACACCATCGTTTCAGTTCTCAAAGGTCACAGCTGCTACACAAGGAGGAAATTCATTAAAAAATTACCCACATTTCTAAAAATCAGGCTAAAAGTGGTGTGTCTGTGGCTGCACAGCAGCAGGCTCCAAGTTACAGCGTTGCCACTTCCACGTTTGTCATTTTTACAAAAAAGAAACAAAGCCTTTTTTTTTTCCCAGAAAAAAGTACCTGAACCAATTAGTCACTTAGCCCTTTCCCAACTTTTTGGGTTAACCGCAACCCAGCTCACCTCAAAAGCACACCTGTGCATATACCCACGTGTTCTGTGCACTCAGAACCAGCAGGTCTACCTTAGAAGTAATGGTCCTCTCTCCCCTTCTGGAACTCAATTATTTCCATAAACATACTTTTAAAGTGATCACCGCATAGTCCAGAAGCCTCCATTACTCTATCTAGCTTAACTATCTATTTTTACCTCCCATATTTCTATACATTTTGTGTGTGTGTAACAACAAAAGAAAGTGTTCAGAATGCACACACACACATACCTGTCTACACGCCCGCAGCATTTAGTTTCAAAAAAAAAAAAAAAATCTTCCCCAGGAAGCACTTTCAGAAGTTAAGCTTCTACTTGCTTTTAAGCCACAGGGCAAGTGCCAAGTGAGTCCTAAATAACCCTCTTCCAACGCAGGGCCGGCAGGACCTGGGCCCGCAGCGTAGACGCCGAGTAGGATCACGGGCATGGCAGGGAAGGGCGCCCCTCAGGCTTCCTAGAGCACTGTGCTGCCATCTCCCCCACCTCACCTGGGAGTCTCCCTTTCTTGTCCCTAACTCTCTTCCCTCAGAGGACCTCCACACTGTTCTAATGGGTCCCTGCCCTCGGCACCGGCTGTCCCATCTGCGAGGCCAGATGCCTGTGCCTGCAGCAAGGCGGCGGGCTCTCTGCCGTCATCCATTTCATCCCCCGCCAGTCCATCCAGCGAGCATTCCCTCGCAGCGCCCAGGGCCCGGCGAGCCCTGTTGTCTACAGGCTCCGTGGCTTCCCCTTCGCCCTCCGAGATGACGGTCATGGGGCTGCTCTGGATCCGGTTCCGCATGCTGTACCTGCTGCTGGCTGCAGAAGGCGGCGTTCGACTGCGGCCGTACCTGGGGCCGGAGAAGGACAGACTCCGAGGCATCAAGCCTTCGTTCTTGGCCCACTCCTCCTGGGCCCTTCTGTTCTTGCTCGGGGAGCAGCTTGACGGGCTGTCGGGAGTATCTGGCGAAGGCTCCGACCTTGACCTCTGGAATCTAGGGTCTGTGTTCTTGAGCATCTCGGCTGCAGACATGCGGGCACTGGTGTCTGACCGACTCCCCTTTTTCAGCAGCAGAGCTTTGAAGTTGTCACTGCTGGTGCTGCTCTTCCGGACACTTCTCTGAATCGATCCAACTTGCTTTGGGGAGGCGAGGCTGGGGGCAGCACCGGTGGGTGTCACTGGTGGGGAAGGAGAATGGTTTCGGGTGTGATCGTCGTCTGAATCTTTACGGCCAAGGACTTTCCTCTTGGATCTGAGATTTAATAATATTAAGATAAAGGTTAATTCCCAGTGGGCCACTGGATGTCAGCCACAACCACCCTGCTTTTTTTTACTGCAAATACCGGTCCCCATCTATTAATCTATTATTTTTACTATGTAAACTTCCAAACAGCCATGCAAAAAGAATAGTTCACTATACTACCATGTGTGCCCATGACCTAGCTATGGTAATTATTAACTTATGGCCACCTCTCTTTTATCTCTACCCTCACTGGATTATTTTGAAACAAATCTCAAGACATATTAACTTACTTTGGATAGGACAATTTCTAACGTCTTAATACCTGCCATTTAAAAATTTTATTCTCCTTTATTGGACTAATCTCGAGGAAATTTCACGGCGCTGGCCGTCTTTCTTTCTATTCTTCCTTTTCTTGTTTGGTGCTGGCACCTGAACAGGCCTAACAGGTTAGCCTGCTCTCGGAATTTCCCCTCCACTGAGGCCCCACCTCAGGTTCTAGAACAGCTCCGAAGGCTTACATTCTCAGTTCTGCTAGAGTTTGACATAAAACCAGTTTTTCTTCGCCGTTACTGGACAGTATGCCAACTCCTGGAAGTCCAAACCAGTTTAGAAAACAAGACTGAACCTTCCACACCAGGTCCTGTTTCCTGGCTGACATCAGAGAACCTCTAGCTGATCAAGAAAACGTGAGGGATGTGAGCGGAGTGTGGAAGAGGAGGGAAATAAAATGTTTCCTGGGGGTAATTCTTGTCTTCGGTCTCTCAGAACCTCCCTGTTCAATGTGTTTTCTACTGAGAGTGAATCAGAGACAATAGAGCAGATGAGCCAAGTGGCCCCTTGATTGTCTTTACATAACAACAACTCAATGTGCAAGGAATCTCTTAGCCAAGTACAGGTGGGCTTGCTTTAAGGAAACTTGATAAAATTTAATAAAATAAGATGTGTATATGTCTCTTTTTGTGCTGTAAAATTCTAGAATATGCAGGTGCTTTAACAAACCTCTGATTCAGGGTTGGGTCTGAGCACTATCAACTTCTAGCGCTGTGACCTTGGACCAGTTACTTATCTATACTGCACCTCAGTTTTCATACTTGTAAAATGGGGATGATGACATCGACCTCACAGATTTGTGAGGATTCAGTGTGATAAATAAGCCCTGGAGTCATGCAGACCTGGGTTAAATCTCATTGCTAAAGTGTCCTTGCTCTGTCTGTCGCTGTGGGCAACTTAGAGTTTCTGATCCTGTTTCCTATCTGGAGAGGGAGAAAAACAGTAGCTAGCTCAGTTTTTAAATAAAGATGAATGCAATAACAGCCATAAAGTGTCAGGCGCGGAGGAGGTGCTTTAACAAACCTCTGAGTGTCATTTTGAGAAATAAATTCTCTTTTCCTGGCACCAGATCAGTCTTCAGTGCTGTTTTTACATGGCTGCTTAGCAAGGCACAGGGGACGGTGTGCTATGATGGCTGCCCTGGGCTTGGTGCTCACAGGGTGATCTCAGGAAGTGGTAAGGACCCAATTTGGAGGCTCAATGGTGGCCGGACCTGATGTGGCACCAGTCACTTTGGGACTGCAGAGCCTGGCCTATGATATTTTGGTTCAGCGGTCCTGCTCAGTTGTCAATAAAAGCGGTGCTCTGGAATAAGTTAATGAGTGAGTGACAGAAACCACGGAAATTATAACATCTCAGAATTTTAGAGCTGGAATACACTTTAGATGTTTTGGGCTGACCAGAGAAGGTAACTGAGGTCTAAAGAATAAAGCCATACCGCTGAATACAAGAACTAGGACCTGGTGGAGTATCTTTCCACTTAAGTACATGGCCTCACGATTTATACTGATTGCTCCCCAAAAGCAACTCTGCTCCTCTCATTTTTGCGATATTGGTTTGTGATACGATTTTTTTGGTTTGGGTTTTCAGTGAAGAGGGTGTGCCGAGAGCCAAGCAACACGCCACAGGTATCCTTGATTGAAGCTATGGCCTTTAATTGTAGATTTAGAATGAAGAGCTTTACAAAAGTATGGCTCTTTAAAGAGCAGCTGCCCCCTAAGATGATAATTAAATCTAAACATTTTGATCCTCTGCATGTAGGTATGTATGTATATACACACACACGTGTGTGTACGTTTTTAAAGGAGATGGCTATAAAAAAGTGCTTAAACAGTTAACACTGGCTTGAAAACTAATTACTTCAATAAATATAAAAACTTCACACCTCAACTGCTGTTCTACATTTTCCATCTGGCTTTAAATCTGAAGTGAATTAATTTGCATGACAAAATCTGAAAGTTGTATTTTGATTTAGACGTTCTTAATTTTAAATTATTAGCTTAGGTACTAAAGGGAAGATACAATAAAGCCCTAAAAATCACAAACTTTAAATGGATTTTTATTACGTCTGCTAATATGTTATCAATGCTAAAATAAAAATTAGCACACGTCCTTGCTCTCTCTCGCAATCCTATTCTCTTCTGCCTTTACTACTATCATGAGTACACAGAATAATACAGACTGCCGATTTCTACGTCTGCAGTAGACATAACTCCCTAGCAGGAGAAACTACAAAATTCTTCAGTGCCTTAAGAGGGTTGCCGAAATAAAACACAGAAGAGATCTTTGGCATATTTTTATGAAAAGCATGCAGTCATTTGTCCCCACAACAGCTGGGTTTCTCCCTGAGACCAAGTCCTTAGTACACAGAGCGACCAGGCAATCCATCTTCTCTGCAGATTGCTACTATAAATACATAAGCCGGCGTATTTAGCAACCTAGTGCATGCCATACTAAATGAAAGATGTCGAGTCTTGGAAGAATTTCCTGACAGTTAAATACCAATTGGTTTCACTTAGTTCAGAAAATATTTATTGAGTACTTATTATGTGTCCAGCATGGTTAGAGTTAGAAAAAACTGTGTAAACCTCTAGAAATGTCACTAAAGTTGGTTTCAAAGGATGGAACATTTCTTCATTTCCCTTTTTGGAGAAATAACTTGATAACCAGCTACCTTTTTATTCATAATGAGATTGAAGAGACTGGTCAGACCATGTTAATGGGGCGGTCTTTGGGGGTCTTTTGGAATATTATACTAATACTAGAACCAAGAGGTAAAAAACACATTTCTTGACAAACACCTTAATTCACCAGCTTGGTTTTTATCCCCCAGGTTAGATGTTTATATGTCGTATGAATAATTCAGGTAGGGACAGTATTATGCTTTTCATTTCATTCAATAGTTTTTACAGTTAGAGTCCAGGAATTGGAAAATTAGTCCTGACACAAGGTTATTCATATAATCAATGATTTTACAGGATTTTTTGTTTCAGGAGTTAAAAAGAAGACCTTGATTCAGGGTAACGTAAGGTGTTGGAAGCGTAAGGGCATTCATAAGAGTTATCTGAAAATACTGTGGTGAAGAAGTCTAGAAGGAAGTGAAGGTCTTAGAATTATGGTTTAAAGCACTTGCACATATACAATCTTATCAATTTTTACAATGACACTGTTGTGAGAGCATTCAACTATTTATCACCAGAAAAATGAGGCAACAAATAAAGCTTTGGTGTTAAACCATATTCACTTTTGGAGGTAACCACTTGTAAAAAGTGTAACAGTTCAGGCAGTTATTTTGAAAAATTTACTCTCTGTATTTTTAAGCCCAATAATTTCTGATGCCAGTAGATGGCACTAGCAGCATATAGCAACAAGCAAATTTAATTCCTTTTGCTCCTTCTTAAAAAAAAAAAAAAAAGATGTACTCTTTTATTGAAACATTTAACCAAAGAAATTATACTATAAAATCCTCGTTTTTCTGTAAAATAAAAATAATAATAATAATTATAAAAGTAATAATATGAAAATAGCAATAATAATAAAGCACTCTTAGGAGTCCTATAGAGCTAGGCCGTGCATCATAAGTCCACAGAACACAGTATCCTTCACCCTGGATGGGACCATAGCTGCTCTAACCCAACTCTTGAATACTGTGTCATATGACTGACACATTGCATTTCTTGCCAGCAAGAGCAGTGCTGACCAGAAGGTATCACAATGAGCCTCCGTCCCCCACGTCATCATAAAAACCAGTGGAACAAAGTAAAGCAGAAATTGAAGTCAGAAGAAATAAAAATATAGAAACACACTAAAAAAGATCAATAATCAAGTTAATGAAACCTAATTGGGTAACAGAAGAAACATCAAGAAAGAAAAATAAATTGAGGAACCATTTGGAAAAGTGCAGGGGGCGGGGCAGGACTCATAACATAAAGTAGATGAAACTGTGAAGAGTTTTGGATACCTGTGAATAGCTGCAAAGAGGTCTTCTGTGGTCCGGGGTCTGCTGGGGGTCATCACCTCATCACTCCCTTCTTCCTTAAGGAAGTCAAAGACCTCTGTGGAAGAACCAGCTGCGTCGGTCTCCAGCACCCCAGCTACGGAGAAGCAAGCAGGCAAACACGAGACACACAGCGACTTGAATTTCAGTCTTTAGCCAAGCTCCCAAGTATGCTCTCCATCACTCTTGATAATGTGAGAACCACAGGGAAAGGCTGTGGGTTTGCAGCTGGATATCTTACAAAGAGGGGGGAGCATGACAGCCAAAGCCCATTCTTTTCTCCTAAGTTGTAGAACGGCTAGGGAATCTCTTAAATTGTGTAGTAACATTTCTTTGCAGCTCTCCAGAAGGGAGATTACTCACTTGCTATTTAATACCCAGCTTGCTGCTGTAGGCCGCCCCACCCCTCTCTTCGCCCTTCTGTAAGCTCTAGATCTAGATCTAGGTTTTTAAAAAAATTCAGAAAATGCCAAGTTGGTCACCTAAGTGTGAGCAGCACAGGAAGGGAAGAGTTAGCCCACAGTGCCTGCTTTAACATGAACATGCACCAGCCCTACTGCCTCAGCAGCATATGGTTGGAGGGGAATAAGAGAAAAAACCAGACTCACGCCCTGGGTCCTGCAGAGACAGACAGCTCTCCACACTGGCCCCTCTGTCTGGACTGTTCTCGGTGCCTGGTGCCTCCAGCTTGGGGTCTGGCGAAGCATCGGGCGGCACCATGGGGACATTGGCTTCCACTCTGCCTGGGGATGCAGATCCTGCAGCTCTTCCCTCAAGAACCGAGCTGCCGGAGTCGGTCTCATCGGAACCAGCCCGAGCTGCACAACTCTCTCTGGCCTCTCCCCTCGTGGGGCTCGGCGTTGCTTCGCTCACGGTCTCTGCTGGCTCTGCTGTGAAATCTCTCTGCGGAGGTGGCACCACCAGGAACAGTTTGGGCTTCTTGGAAATGGGGGGTGGCTTCCTGTTGGGCGATGGGCCGGGGGACCCCTGGCCCGGAGCGTGCCCGGGGCCGTGCCCAGCCTCTGCCTCCCCAGCACTGCCCTGGCTGCGGCTCTGGCGGCCACGCTCGGCTGCACCATCCTGGTGACCCTGACTCATGATCTTGGCAGGAGTCGGAAGCGAGCTTGTCACGGAGGCAGGCTGGCTTTCACTCTCCATTTCATTTATGCTATTTCGGGATTTCAGGAAAGCAGATGGCTTTAAATGATACTGGGGCACGATCGGAGTTCCTTTTTCCTGAGATGTTTGTTCATATAACAGTGCTCCCTCGGTTCCTGAGTTCTTCTTCACGGGCCTCAACTGCACCATCTGCAATGCTTCCGTGGTGATCAAGGGCATGGGGGGTCTGCCACCCTCCTCCTTGGTAGCAGGCTGTCTGAAGGCCTCCCGGGAGGAGTCTGGCTGGCCAGATTTCTTGAAAGAAGGCCTGGCATCTTTCATCAATTTGGGATCAAGGGGTGGGGCAGGTGGTGGAACCAAGGAAGGTAAAGACGGTGGAGGGGGTGGCACCGAGGCAGAGGGGTCCAGGAAAAGGGGGCTATGGCCCGTTGGGGGCGGAGGAAAGCTTGCATCGGTTGGACAGAAGGGCATAAGAACTTCTGGTGGTGGAGGGGGGAAAAGGGGAGACTGAGGCAGAGGAGAGCCCCCGGGAGAATCTGCTAAAGGTGGGGGAGGAGGAAGAAAAGGAGACTTGTCAGCAGGACATGGAGACGGAAGAGAATGTTGAGGAGGAACAGCGAGCGGAGAGGCTGGCACTGAATCCAGCTTCTTCACAGTTCCGCTTCCTTCTGTAGACGCATTAGAAGAAAGGGACGTGGACGATGAGGAGATGGACACTGACGATATCAGAGAGGACTTCCTCTCCGGAACCCTGGGCTTGGTCTTCCCTTTCCCATTTGCTGGTGACATTGACTTTAAAAACACAGGCACAGGGGTGAGTGCTGTGGGTGTATTCGACTGGCTGGAATACCCACTGGATGGAGAAGTGACTCTATGTGACTTCTCCGGGGATGTGATCTTTGGTTTGACTGAGCCACCAGGCACTTGGGACACGGCGGCCCTGGACCCCTCTTGGACATGGTGGACTGGCCCATTTCCAGTTGGTGCCCCACTGCTGGCCGAACAGCCCCCGCCAGGGTTCCCCGGGTCATCCGGTAGCACCGTGTAGTCGATGTAGTAACCCCAAGGGTCTGTGTACTCGGACTTGACGCTGCTCGTGTCACTCTGTGACGGAGTGACCCCGCACAGGGAGGAGACGTTGGGGGTGGTGGCAGAAGTCATGCTGCTGCCCGCGCTCACCGTGCTCTGGCTGCGGGAGCGAGGCAGCCAGGGCTCTTCCAAGTCACTGCAGGGGCTCTGGGCGGGCGAGAGGCCGCCCTTGCCGGGGAGGTTCAGCTGCAGCGAGTGCTGGAGCGAGGCGATCAGGCTCTCGTTGAGCACCTGCCCGTTAGTCTGGGTGTTCTTCTTGGGGACCCTGCGCAGAGAGTCCGTCCGAGAGGGTGGCAGAGGAGGCTTCTTTGCTTTCTTCAAAGAGATGTTTCGCGAAAGGGATTTGTCATGGTAATTTGACCGGTCCTCTTGGTTCTTCTGAGCTCTTCCATCAAAAACATTGACCACGCTGTGCCTGGGGTTCCCAAAGCCATTGCTGCTACTGCACTGATTCCCAGGTCCGTGTCCAGAGCTGGTGTGCACAGGTGGGTAGTAGCCGTCGTGGTCCTCTGAATACAGAGACCTGGCATCGTCTTTGTTGGACGTCTGGTCTAAACTGCTGCTGCTCATGTGACTTCCCGGAGTGGAGTAACCAGGGGTTGCCAAATGAGGCTTCAGTGGGGACGCCCGCCCGCTCCCTGAGGAACTGTACTCCCAGGGCTCTGAGTTGCCATGCCCTCTACCTCCGGGATAACTGGACTCACTCTTGCCATCCCCATCCTGGGGCTGGGCTGGGAAGCTCGGGTTGTTTCTACAGTTATAGGCCAGGGCATGGGACCCGTTCTCCCGATTTGCTGGGGTATTTAGAGAGACTGCCGAATCACAGAGGGACGACAGTGTGCTTGCACTGGGGGAGTGGGGATCGACGGCCCGTGAAGGGACGGGGGTGTGACCCTCATCCCAGTTACCACTGAGAGGCTGGCGGTCATCTTTCCCAGCGTGCCTGGAGAGGAGGCGGTCTCTGGATTTTATTTTTATGTATGAAGGGGAGCTGGTAATTTTACTGTCCAGCTTCCCTGAACTCTGAGCAGTGTGAATAACAACGACCTCCGAGGAGGAGGAGAGGGTGGCATTTGGGATGATGCTGGTGGAGTAGGTCGCGTGCGGCGACACCACGCATGCTGGGCCTGTTCCATTTTCACTCTCAAAGTACCTCAGCTCCTGGGACTTGGGCCTCAAATGCACTCCAGTCCTTGAAGCACCCCCTAACTGGTAGGGGAAAGTGCCGTCCAGGTCTTCCGCAGGGCTCGGGGCACCCAGCTGTGGCTCGAGGGACTGAAGGTTGGCCTTCCCTCCGGAACGTGGCAGACTGTGGAACCCAGCATCGCTGTTGAGGCGAGAAGGGAACACAATGCCCGCAGAGTCGCTCAGCACAGACATGTTCCCAGAGGAGCCGGAGAAGTGGCTCAGCTGGGCAGCAATGCCTTGCCCCTTCTGTGCCCTGATTCTTCTCATCGAAGGCGGCACGACTTTCACTTCCTCAGTCTGACAGCTGGAGTCCCTGGTTTCCGAGCGCTGCCCGGCAGACCGAGAGCTGTCGAGCCTTCCTAGTGTCGAGTAGTGGTCTGGGGTGTACCCTGAGTGACCACCAACATCATCTTGGCCAGTGCCTGATGCTGGAGATAAAGCAGAAAGAGGCCTGTTACCTAAAAATAAAAACCAACATCTTAGTTCATCGCCTGTACCCTCACCTCCTTCTGACTCTGCTGTACTTAAAACAAACAAAACCTTCTCTATTTGATCTAGTTTCTTTTCTTTTGTAGGTGCCTAAGTGAGAGTTTAGTTACCGACGGCTCCTAAATCAAAAACCCTTATTATGAATGTCATGTAGTTCTTTTAATTTATACTTTAAATCCTTCCACAGATTAAGTGTTGCATATGAAATTCTCAGGTACTCTCTCTGAGATCAAGGCTGACTGCTCAGTGGAAGGTTTGCTTTTCAAATAACTTCCTTTTAGTAAAGATTTCAAGGTAGCCGGGCACCCACCGGGTGACCGCACAGAGCATTGCTCAAGCAGGGATTGTCTTTCTCAAAGACAGATGAATGTAGTAGTAGGTCAACAATAAGGCTAGAGAGATACCATTTATGAGGAATATTAGTACAAAATGGAGTTAATAACATTAATTTTATGTCAGAAGGAAATCCTGAGAAAAAGAAAAATGATTTACAGGCCCATCTGTGTTGCAAACATTTCATTATCCATCTCAAGCCATTATCATCTGTCTGTCAGTGACATTCAAAATTCTACAGCAATCTGTCGTGTTCTGGTAGGGAACCGATCAGCAGGATCTGATCCAGTGAACATTTACTCAAATTAGGTTTATTCATTTCTTGGAGCCTTACAACTAAACAGAGTATGTTTTCTTTTTTTTTTTTTTTTTAAAAAAAAAAGGACATAGAAGACCAAATGGAGAATGGAAGGGAAGTAGATGAGAAAACATCTTAAGTGAAGAAAACAGATTTCAAGCTACCTGGGAAGGAACAGAAGCTTAAAAAAAAAAAAAAAAAAAAAAAAAAATCAACCCATGCATAGTAATCACTACGGCAAATTAAGTCATGAAAAACAGTAGCAAAACCATAATTCTCTCTACATTGTTATCACCCAATAAGGACCTGAAATATCTCAAGCACGGGCTTCGCTGAACGACGCTGGCAGAACATCACTGTTCACCTGGCAAGGACTCTAATGATGATGGGATTCCAGAGAACTCCCTCTCTACCCCACATAAATCAACCACTGCATGCCATGTGGACCTTACTGGATATAAAGCCTATTGCTCATCCAAATAGCAAAGCATATTACAAAAATGGCAGCAGTGTTCTTGTTATAAACCGCAAGGAGATGTCACCCCGAGGAAAGGAAGATTTCTCAGGCAAAAGTCCTTTCCTCACTGTGATGTGATGTGATGATGGAGACTCATTTTTGTACTTGTATCATCAGCCAACAGAATCAATTTCCTTCCCCCTACCGTCTGCCAAGTACCCACTCACTAAACACACACACACACACACACACACACACACTCACATATATACACACGAGGTTCTTCCTCAGAGAGAGGGAAAGTAGTCAAAAGGGCAGGAGGAGAAGAAAAATCCACTTTAAGAAAAACAAAAGGTAAAAGTTTTTGCCATTTGCCATTTAAGAAGGTGGGGGGTTGACTTGTATGGCTGAATTGGTCTGTACTAGTTTGATTCCAAACATTCAAGATACTTTATTCTATTCATCAATGGGTTTTAATATCTTTTGCTTTTAAATCTGTAGTACTTGTTGCATGGCGTCAGTGGTAGATTTTTGTCTGTCTTTAAGGGCCATAAACAAAGTCCTGATTCTTTTGGGTAACAATTTTGAATGTGACACCATTCTAAGCTTCTGAAAATGGGAATACAGCCATTTCTTCACCATCTATAGACCAGTTACAACTTTGTTATCAAAATAACAATATTTTTCTAAAGGCCTTCAAAAATATATGAAACACTTGTATGTCATTTAACAAAAGGGCCACCAAACTTCTATTCCCAAAACAGATCATCCAATATTTTGACAGCAGAAAAAGTATCGCAATATTATAGATACAGATGAATGCTATATTGATTAGAACTAAAGAACAAAAGCAGACTACAAAAAGATAACTAAAAACAAATGTAAATCACTCAGGTGCTGCTAAAATCTTGATGGCATTTATCTGATTTTCAAATAAAATGTAAGAAAATAATTGTGTATACTTTTCATTATTATATAAGAGATTTCCATTTTTTTAAAAAAGCATGTAATCAACCATAATGGAAATCTACAAGTTAGTTTATTTAAGGTTTAGTATATGAATTTTTAAATAGTCTTGTCAGTTCTTTAGTAATGTTTTTAGTACAAACTACCAAAAATTATTCAGAAGGGAATTCCTTCTGAATGAGGTTTTTTCTGCTCAGGGAACAAATATTGGGATAAGTTCCAGGAGTATCTAATCTATTTAGGAGCCAAATATAATTATATATCAACGAAATAATCCTATCTGATTCTAAAACATGAAATGATATTCAAATATATTTCTATGTATGTTTAGGATAATAAGATTAAAGAAAAAAATTGAAATTTTGTCTAATTCATTTAAATGGAAGGAAATAAAATATAAGTCATCAAATATGCTTTGGAAGTAAACAGTAAATATCATACCTTGATTTTAAAGCATTGTATATTGGCTAGTCTCTAGAGTACACTATTTATGAATTTTGAAGTAAAAATACATATAATGAAGCATAATCAAACTCTCCAATTCTGGAAACACCTCTGGTTAGGTTTTTAAAAATCGAAACCCTGGCAACTTAGGAAGTGTCTAGTGGACAGAGTACATCTTTCTAAGTGAATGTCTTCCTTTCAGATAATTATCTCTTTTTTTAAATCTAATTTATTTGACTCAGCCATACTATCCTATGCTCTATATTTAGAGAAGACTAATTTTTAAGGAAAACATGAAGCATTTATTTTTAGTACTCAATAGTTAAGCAGCAAGAAGTTTCCAAGTGACATTTTATTTTATACTAAAAATTATTAGAAGGCCCATGTCAACCACAAGTCATAAAATGAACTAAGAAAATGTATGATCCAAATTTTCCCCTAAATTTTTCTGTATTCAAATGTTATTTTCCCTCATTCTATCCATCAATCCTTGCAACTAGCCTTTCTATAAAACTAGAGTAATTGTCTAATTGTCTATTTTTTAAAAACTAGCTCAACTTAGACACTGCTGTCTCAGTTGACCTTCAGCTGTGATCCAGGTCATGTCACTAACTTTGCAATGGCATCAACAGTCTCACATCTGGCAACAATCGTAACATAGATGATATGGGGAACGCTATTTTCTTTCCTCCAGCATTAGTAGTGGTTCCACATCACATGTAAAAGAGAAATAAATGTGAGCTCCAGAGACTCAAACATTCATTTTAAACATATTACAATCACAGAAGATACAGTTTATCAAGCTGGCCAGATCATTCCAGTAAGGTCGAAGAGGTAAATGAGCGATTGGCTGGCTCCATACTGGATGGCTGAGTAATAAAAATGATACAAGTTCGTAAGTCTAAGGTTCTAGAACTCATATTATGTACATATATAAACCGTTAATATTTAATACTTATGTGTACGTGTATCTTTATCTGGGCCAAATTATTCTTACACCCTTTGCACAAAGCTATTCAAAATCAACCTATTTTGGTTGGAAAGCCACTTAAAATGCAGCCTACCTCAAAACACCAACCTTGTTATTTTATAAAGCAGCAGTTTCCAACCGTTTTGGCACCGGGTCCGGTGCTCCTATGAGAATCTAATGCCTGATGATCTGACGTGGAGCCAAGGCGGGGATGCTAGCGCTGGGGAGCGGCTGCAAATACAGATGAAGCTTTGCTTGCTCGCCTGCCACTCACCTGCTGTGCAGTCGGGTTCCTAACAGGCCATGGACTGACTGATATCAGTCTATGGCCCAGGGGTTGGGGACCCATTTTATAAAGGGCCTTCTTTAAAGTCACTCCTTTTAGTTAAGGCACATCTAAAAGATCAGTTGAATTACAAATGTTACCTGAGCACTGTAAGAAATTAGCCCATTAAGCATCTACCATACATATACATACAGATTTATTTCTCAAATCAGTTAGCTGTCACCTAAAGAAGAAGAAGAAGAAGAAAAAAAAGAGTCCGAAAGAACAGGACATAAGAAGACTGGCCCACTAAAAGAAGCAGCATGTGGGGACAGGAACCGAATACAGACTTCACAAACCCTGCGGATGCGATCTGGCCTTTGTTTATAATGAACACTTATGCTATGGGATAAAACAAGCACCCATAAGCCATCTGTGTCACTGAAGCTACCTAGAGCAGAGGCAAAGCACTGCTTTTCTTGTGCCATTGTTGCTGCAGTCTGGAAGGCAAAGCACACATACTGTAAAATTAGATGGCAGTTTAAAAAAAAAAGATGGCCAGGTAAAGAAGAATGAGCAGGAGTGTTGGGAAAAAAAAACACAGGAACAGTGTCTGTAGCACCTAAAGCTGAAATGCTACTTCAAAGTGCTGTAACAGATACATCACTATTGCTAGGATAAATTCATCTTGACTAAAAGACTAATAGGAAGTGCAGAAACTCAGAAATATGATTCTGAGTTTCTACTGTATAACCTTTAATACTAAATACAAGTAAAAATATCAAGTGAAATAAGTCCACAGAAGAGAAAGAAGCAAATTTCAAGAAAGGCAGTCTTATGTAAGTTCTCTACAATAATTACAGTAGCAGCTATTATGTTCATGTAGTACAAGGCACAAATGCTTCACCTATACAAATTCATTAAATCCTCAAACGACCTTATGAGGGAGGTTCTATTAACATCACCAACTCCATTTTTCAAATGAGGAAGTAGACTCAGAAAGGTGAAGTAACCAGCTCACAGTCACCTAGAGAGTTAGTGGCAAAGCTAGGATTCAAATCCACAGTCTGGCCCAGAGTCCCAGCTCCTGACCCAGTATGCTATGCTGCTTCTGCAGATATTCCCAATGGGCCCATTAAAAACCAGAGAGAGGAAGTAAATATAGAGAGAAAAGAATGAACGGATGATCCACAGCATATACAAAGATAAGCAGAAACAAATGAATAAGTGAACAGGAAGTAAATAATGCTCTCCACCAGCCAAAAAAATATTTTTTTGTTGTTTTCATCACAGGTTGAAAAATATCGAATCAAAAACTTATCAAGTTGTTTCATTGGAAGTACATAAATGTACTACCCAACATGAAAGACTATTTTCTATCATATTGGTATTTACTAACTACCCCACACTGCTGTCTCTTTGATGACAAATGCCATCAATATTGCCAGTATAACTGATGAAGTCCATATCATAATTTGAAGTCCTAGAATGAGTTGTTGGTTTTATGAAAACTTAAGACCTAAAAGCAAATTTAATTGTGGAAATCCCTACTGTTCAAGGTATGTAGAGATGATGACATAACTGTGAATTTCTATCATCCCAATTAATAGTTTTTATACAAGCGTCTCCTCTTACGTTCTCATCAAAATTCAATACATCATCTGCATGGCGCATTAAAATTTGTACCCGGTGCATCGTTCAGAAAAGCTGGCCCTTTGGGGCACCAAATGGCTATCAGAATGTGTCGATTTCATAAGCACCACAGATGAGGTTAGCATAGTAATGCTGAGCAGCAATGAGGGCAACAGAATACAGTTCTGATGAGCCATACCTAGCTCCTTCTGTATGTTGTCAGGGACTCCTGTAATAGTCTTTCTCCTTTTGACTTTCTTCGGCCGTCTTACCAGAGTGTCTGTGTAAATTAGAGACTGCCGAAGGCTGGCCTGGCGATCGAAATTCTCCCCTAATGTAGAGTAGTAGAACAAGCAAAGCAATGTTATTTTCAAGCAGGCTGACACCATGCACTTTCTTCCAGAAGCTTGTTGTAAAATGATAAGAAGGTATTAATAATGATGTTAGCCAGTCATATGATGATGAATGAATGCTGAAGGGCAAAAAAGGAAGGAAAGCAGATTATCATCATAAGGCTGTTTTCCAATTTCTATGTGTGTCCTTCCAAAGGAAGCACCTGGATCTCATTTTCAAATGAGCTGGAGTGGCAAATGCAAATTTGGTAACAACGCACCAGAAGAGTGATTCTTCATTATTTTAAAAGTGGATCATTTTGGAAGTGTTTCACTTAGCTCCTCTGGTCACCAAAATCACTTTTTACATCACCGTGTATGTGATGATGGCAATAAACATATTTTAATCATTTAGTCAACTCCAGAGACCATTGTAATGTCTTGCTCTATGTGATGAAACAAATAACTTAATCAAGAATTCTTGGATGAAGAGCTTTTTCTTCCAATCAAGGAGGCCAACAATTTGGATAGACTGTGGAAATTTCTATGGTGTGAGATACAACTATAATGAAAAATAAAAAGCCTTATAATGATAAAGTACTTTTATCACAATGAGACCCAGTAGCACCGTTGTTGTTAAAGCCGAACTTCTCTATTTCATAATCATTTTTAAAAGTTAATCTGAATTCAGACATTTTAGGTCATGTTGCAATCAAACCCAGCTTGCCATATCCGCAGGCCTTTTTTTCTTTCTAGAGTGTGTAAGCTTGTGTGATTGACACACAATGGGAAAACGTTAAACATAAAGTATAAGTTTTGGGTTGGTCTACTTTAATTACTTCACAGTTGAATTAAAGAAAGTTTTATAGTATTGACCTTGTGAAGTGGTTATCTCCTCAAAAAGAGATTTAAAAAATACGTATATACACACAAATTATATACTTTTATCATTCTTATAAGAAAAGTATAAAAATATTCACTCCCTTTTTAGCAATATTGACACACATTCAAAGTAGGTATGTTTTGAACAATGTACCTATTTTAATAGGAGTAAGTTGTGAAGAGAATTTTACCTAATCAGAGTGATCAAAACACATTTCACCTACTAAGCAATAAACTTAAATAAATGCTTGCAAACTTGAAAATGTGTGCAACTTTGTTCCTAATGGAGAAAAACAGAAATGACTGAGAGAAGACCCGGAAACACCAGAAGGTACCATCACTGTAATAAATGGATCACTATGTGCAATAGCATATATGGCATTTGTAAGTGGCGTGTCATGACTTCAATGGTCCATTAATTTCCTGCAGCAGAGGAAAAAAATTTCCTTGTATTAAGGAATTAAGAATGGACAAAGTATTAACAGATAGTTGCATTTAGTCTTCAATTTTGCTTCCTAAACAAAAGCAAAAGATAAACCACCTAAACTCCAAGGAAATTAAGAAACAAACCACAAGGATAAACATCACCATTAAAGGCACCAAACTCTCCATCTGGCATTGTGACCTAAAGGATGGTGTCCCCTGCTGCACTATATACATTTCTTGAGGGTAGGGACCATGATTCATGTACCTCAGCATCCTTTGTGGCATTCAGCTCAGTGTCTGCCACAAAAGTAGTTATTCAGTAAGTATCTGTTGAGTCGAGAGGAACTGAATCATTCCCTTTCATTGAAAAATAGCATTAGTCAGTGATGGTTACTATACTTAGAAATAAACTTAGCTAGCTCAAACATTAGTACAAAACCAGTTTGTAAAAACTGTTTAAGTATATCTACTATTTACCTTCCAGGTGGAAGAGTTGTTATCCCACACAACAGATGATGAAACATACTCATATGTACATTTTATTTTAAACATTGTTTTCTCTTCAACATTTAGAACATGCTGAGTTCCCACAAAACTAGGACTAAAGGGATTAAATCAATTTCAAGCTGGCAGCTCATTGTACTAATGTTTTACCTCTACGCCTGGTGGGCTTCACTTTGGATTTGAAATAATATATTTGTTGGCACTTTTCCCTCAGCTGAATCTCACTGAAAATCAAAGTAGAGCATCACTGTTCACCCAAATGAATGAGCACGTAATTCCCTTTAGACAGCTACATTTTTATCTCAAAAGTCTTCTAGGGCTTTAGAAATATGTCATTTGAATAGCAGGAAGCTGTATAATCTATATCAATTCAACCACTAAAAGCGAAAAATTTTAATTTAATACTTCTTTATACCAGATTAGAAAACCCACTCCCTTTATGAAATATATGTGTATGTATGTGAACACATATATCCAGAAAATGAAGCAATAAATATGTAATTAATTATTACTTTTAACTTCTACATTTCTAAAAATGTTAATCACTCAATCAAAAGTACATTGTATTTTGACATAGCTCACAGTGCTCTTTTCTTTATTGTCATTCACCCTTCCTGTGTGGCATTCTGAAGGCCTCCTTTTAAACTCTGTGTAATTCATATCTACTTAGACATCAAACAAGAGTGAATTAAAGCTCAAAGGAAGGATACTGTCCACTGTCATGACAATGTATTTCATGGCAAATAATTCTTTACTCCTAAAACTCTAGTTACTCAGTTTTAAATGTACTAATCTCATGATAATGCATTTTATCCTAATTCCATTAAGGATCGTCATATTTCATAGCACAATCTTCTTATATTATTCCTGAGGCATTTAAGCATATATAATGTAATTACATTTCTGCTGCATTTAATCAAATAATGTAATGCATTTTCTTATAGAAAATATGCATCCATGTATTTCATTGAGCAATAAACATTATACTTTGTCCTGAAACATAGCTTCTTATAAAAATAATCTTTAAAAAATATAATCTAGCTGAACGAGAATCCCATTTAGAAAGATGAAGATGTTATTTGCAAAGAAAATGGATTAAAATGCCCATGCTATTCCTTTAAGGCTTATAATAAATGTGGGAAAATGCACATGGAATTTAAAATAATTCACGCACTTATTAAATTTCTCTGGAATTCAAAATACAGTTCAAAATGTAATTTTAAATGTCCTGTAAGGTTTTTAAAAATTCTTCAATAACTATCAAAATGTTATTAGTCCCTTAAAAGTTCATCAGTGCCATTGTAAAAATCTTTCTAACAGCAGTCAACAACAGTAGCCTCAGTAGCACAGAGAGTGGCGATGGGTTTTCATCTAATATTTTATAAAAACTCATCCTTATTGCTCACATGATTTTTTTTAGGTTGTGGCCTTATTGGCCATGCTTTGAATGAACTGGTTATCAATGATATCAGTAATCTATTTCTCTTGAACATACAGCCCAATGGCTGAAGCTATTAACTCTTAATTATCTATTTAGTACTGTGTACATTCCCCAAACTGTTGACTTATCCTGTTTGCAGGCCACGGAAGTGATAAAACAGAAAAACTTTGATATTTTTTAACAGCTCATCTAAGTTTGTAAAATACTGTTTTGAGCTTCATGTACCTTATTTGTAATCTTTAATTACCACAAATGATCAAAACCTGAGTATAATATTCTAAAAGAATTTAAATTTCACAGTTGGCAATCAATATTCATATTCCAGTTTATTGTGACATATTCTAAAATTTCATATTCGGAAGGAATGGATTTTTATTTAAAGATTATAAAATTCAAATTAGAGATCAAAATATAATTTTATCACCCTACTGAGTTTTTAAGTGTTTATAGTTATTATTATTAATTCATTTGATATTTCAAGTAATTTTTTTCCTTTTTCTATTTGAGAAATCAAGAAGGCAAAGAAACCTATCATTAAGAAACATCACAAAATAACTTATTTCATTATTTCTATAAATATTACTTAAAATAGCCTTTTAGAAGAGAAACATAATTTTTTCTTATCCAAGATCACATTTAGAACATGTCCCCATATAACAAAAATACTTTTTAAAAGCCATTCAATTTAAAAAGACACACTTTAGAGGAATGGCTGGACCACTGAGTTCTTTGACATCAACCTTTGGTGATACAGTCTTCTAACTTAAAAGCGATAGATATTTTACATGTATACATATATGTATGTTTTAGTATTTCTTCATTAAACAAAGATCAGGAAGTCAAACCACAGCTACTTACCTTTGGTATATAAATGAAAAGCTAAGAGCATGTAACAAACAAAAAGCCATAGTCATTTTCCCAAATACATTTGAACCTTGTCTGCATAGCAAAGCATACCAGTTATGTTAATAGGAACCACATCAGCCTGGACTGTTTGAGCTTGCTGTCGCATCTTCTCTTCTGGGGTTGGCAAGGGAAGTGACTTGGTCCAGTTCGTTTGAGTATTAAGGTCAGAGAAGTCACTTGAGGTTGGTGTTTTAGGTCTCCTGATGGAAATAGGT